AAAATGGAATATGAGAGTAAACTAGCTAGGGATATAAAGACAGATTGTAAGAGCTTTTACAAATATATAAAGAGGAAGAGATGAACAAAAATAAATGCGGGTCCCTTACAGGCAGAGACTGGAGAAATTATAATGGGGAATAAAGAAATGACCGAGTCGCTAAACAAATATTTTGCTTCTGTCTTCACCTTAGAAGATACTAAAAACTTACCGAAAATAGTGGGGAACCAAGAGACTAATGTTAGTGAGGAACTTAAAGAAATTAATATCAGTAAAGTAATAGTACTAGAGAAATTAATGGGACTAAAAACTGATAAATCCCCTGGACCTGATGGCCTGCATCCTAGTATTTTAAAAGAGGTGGCTGCAGAGATAGTGGATGCATTGTTTTTGACCTACCAAAATTCCCTGGATTCTGGAACAGTTCCCGTTGATTGTAAGGTCGCAAACGTAACGCTGCTATTTAAGAAGGGTTGGAGAGAAAAAATGGGGAACTATAGACCAGTTAGTCTGATATTGGTGGTCGGGAAAATTCTAGAGTCTATAATTAGGGACGTCGTTGTGGGGCTTTTAGAAAGTCATAATATGAGTAGGCAAAGTCAACACGGTTTTATGAAAGGGAAATGGTGTTTAACAAATCTTTTAGAGTTTTTTTGAAGCTGTAACTAGCAGGTTAGATGGGGGGAACCAGTGGATATAGTGTATTTGGATTTTCAGAAGGCATTCGACAAGATGCCACATAAAAAGTTGTTACATAAGATTAGGGCTCATGGAATGAAGGGTATTATATTAGCATGGATCGAAGAGTGGTTAACAGGCAGAGAGTAGGGATAAACGGATACTTCTCAGATTGGCAGGGTGTGACTAGAGGAGTGCTGCAAGGATCAGTGCTTCAACTGTTTACAGTCTACAACAATGACGTAGATGAGGAAATAGAGCTTAATGTATCTAAATTTTTGGACGATACAAAGCTAGGTGGGAAAGTAAGCTGGGAGGAGGACACAAGGAGGATGCAAAGGGATATAGACAGGTTAAGTGAGTGGGCAAGAAGGTGGTAGATGGATTATAATGCTGGGAAGTATGAAGTTATTCACCTAGGTAGAAAAAATAGAAAAACAGATTATTTTCAAGAGCGGGTGAGACTAGATAATGTTAGTATTCAGAGGGATTTAGCAGTCCATGTACACCAGTCACAGAAAGTTAATATGCAGGTACAGCAAACAATTAGAAAGGTTAATAGCATATTAGCGTTTATTGCAAAGGAGTCAGAGTACAAGAGTAGGAAAGTCTTGCTGCAATTGTATAGGGCCTTGGTGAGACCGCACCTAGAATATTGTGTGCAGTTTTGATCTCCTTATCTAAGAAAGAATATACTCACCTTAGAGGGGGTGTAAAGCAGTTCACTAGGTTGGTTCCTGGGATGAGGGTGTTGACCTACGAGGAGAGGTTGAGTAATCTAGGCCTATATTCTCTAAAGAATATAGAAGAATTAGAGGTGATCTTATAGAAACCTATCAGATTCTTAAGGGTCTTGACAGGGTAGATACTGTGAGACTGTTTCCCCTGGTTGGAGAATCTAAAACTAGGGGTCATAGTCTCAGGATTAAAGGTCAGCCTTTTAGAACTGAGTTGAGAAAACATTTCTCCACTCAGAGGGTAGTGAATTTATGGAATTCTCTACCCCAGAAGGCTGTGGTGCTCAGTCATTGAACATATTCAAGACTGAGATCAATAGATTTTTAAAAACTAAAGGGATTAAGGGATCTGGGGATAGGGGGCTAAATAGAATTAGGTTAGAAGATCAGCCATGATCTTATTAAATGGCAGGGCAGGCTCGAGGGGCCAAATGGCCTACTCCTGCTCCTATTTCTTATGTTCTAAGTCCTCACAATGTACTATATTAACCAAAGACTTCCATCAGGAGTTACTGTTTCAGTGGCATCCCTTCTCAGCCCCTATTTACAGCGTCAGCATTTTCTCTCTTTCCACCAAGTTTTCCACACATCTCTCCTCTCCCTCGTACACAGTGCTACCCCTTCTCTCCATCTCCCTCACACACTGTGCTACCCCTTCTCTCCTCTCCCTCACACACAGTGCTACCCCTTCTCTCTTCTCCCTCACACACAGTGCTACACCTTCTCTCCCTCTCCCTCACACACAGTGCTACCCCTTCTCTCCTCTCTCTCACACAACAACAACAACAACAAGATTCCATTTATAAAGCGCCTTTCACGTCAGGAGGACGTCCCAAGGCGCTGCACAGTTGGGTCATGACCCGAGCAGGGGTGAATGGTCAGGGTGAGGGGAGGGAAGGGAGGGAGCGAGGAGGGGGGAAACGGTCAGGGTGAGGGGAGGGAAGGGAGGGAGCGAGGAGGGGGGAAATGGTCAGGGTGAGGGGGGGGAAGGGAGGGAGCGAGGAAGGGGAAGAGAGTCGAGAGGGGAGCTGAAGTCTTCTCTCCTCTCCCTCACACACTGTGCTACCCCTTCTCTCCTCTCCCTCACACCTCTCTCTCACTCACAGCTAATCCTATGCTATGGGAGAGCAGGTCTTCTGTTAGCATCAGATGAAAAACTTGCTCTCCCCATGAGTCATTCTGTGATCAGATTAGATATTTTTATTGAGCCAAGCCAGAAGTTAATGAATGAACACACCAAAGCCACGATCCATGGGCCAGCAAATGATTATTGGTGGGGGGGGAAATAAGTTTGTATATTGCACTATCTTTAGTTAGTAATTGGCTTCGATGACCACTTATCAACAATGTGATAATTATCACCAGTTATAATTAACACATTGCAAGATGTAATGATCCGCCCACAATGACCTTCTGGTGCTCTGCTTAGGCTATGTCAGGGGCTACTATAGTGTTCGCTCATGACCTGATCTCGTATAGCGCCTCGTATAGCGCCTTTCACGCTGGGAGGAAGTTTCAAAGTGCCTCATAGGATTTTACTGTCAACTCCTGGCTGTTTCAAGGCCACTTTCAAGGCCGTCCATGGCCTTGCCCCCTCCTACCTCTCTGACCTGCTGACTCCCTACCAACCTGCCCGCTCCCTCCATTCAGCGGGCTCTGGCCTGCTCCATGTCTCCCGACCGACCCGCCCTACCACGGTGGTCGGACTTTCAGCCTTTCTGCCTCCACACTCTGGAATTCCATCCCACGGTCGCTTCGCCTTACATCCTCCCTTGCCTCCTTCAAGTCCGGTCTCAAGACCCTTCTTTTCGATCGTGCCTTTGGTCGCCTTCCCACCTCTCTGCCTTCCCTCACCCCTACACCACCTCTCCCCCATACTCGGGCCCCGATACCTGACTGTTCAGCGCTTTGGGACGTCCTCCCGACGTGAAAGGCACTCTATAAATGTAATTTTGTTATTGTTGTTTGTGGGCAAAATAGCTGTTGTATTTGTCAACAATACAATAATAATCCTTGTATTATCGCACACGCACTAACAAAAAACACTAAAGTGCTGAGAGAATTGACAAGGTGCCAGAAAAATGCAATTTCTTCTTTCATTCTCAGCAATTGATCCAATAACATAGGTAATTATTTTAGTTGCTTAATTTTGTATCACAATACCACAGTAATATTTTAGTTTACAATGTTGATTGTCCAGCACCTTGGGACGCCCTCCCGACGTGAAAAGCTCTATACAAATGTAATTTTGTTGTTGGTGTTGTAATTTGAATGAATCCTGGTTTACAATTTGGATTTATATAATACTTTATCACAACACAAAGCACTTCAGAGTAATTATTGTGGCGCTGTTTATAATTATATTATTAAGAAACAGCTTGTACAATTTAGCCATAAACTTTATATGAAACCGCAAAATGAGACACTGAGCTGTCACTCCAGCACAGTGTTGACAGAGCGCTGCATTGTCAGAGGTGCCATCCTTCAGACCGAGGTCCTGTATGCCTGTTCAGGTACATGTTAAAGGTTTGATTGACATGATTCATAAGGAAAGGGATTTTCTTCCATGTCCTGGCCAACAATCCTCCAAGTAAAGTCATTCACTTCATGGGTGTTTGTGCAATCATGCAGTGGAAATTAGCTGTTATGTTTGCTTACAAGTACAGTCACTACACTTGCCTGCAGTTACTTGTGTTGCATTTTGAGACATTTCAACTTCATAGTATCAAACACAGGGATATTATTATATTTATATTATTTACTTTCTATTAAAACATTTTGCCTCTGAGACAAACAGGCGTAGAAACAGAAACTCAGGATATCCCAGGAACTCCAGCGATGGGCCAGAAGGTGAGTGGGCTGAGCAATGAGCTGTATAGAGCAAACTGAAGCAGGTTTAAACTGCACTTAGTTTGCAATGACTCATTTGATTTCTGAGGGGTGGCACAAAAATGTGAATGTCAGAATTTGCCTCAAACTCAAGTTAGTGACAGGAAAGTCAGCCATGGATTTGTTCTCCTGATCACATTCCAGTAACTTCTGATGGATTGCACACAACTGTAGATGATGGGCGAGAGCAGAATTGAGTTTGGCTCTGATGTGACCTATAGTCCTGTAGCTCAGTGGTTAAGAGAGCTCGCCTTGCAAGCGAGACACCTGGGTTCAATTCCAGGCAGGGCGAAACCTTGGGCGAGTTTCCTTACTCCATACGCCTAATAATCCTCCAAAAAACAAAACAATAATAAATTGGTAATTTTCAATCCACGACTGTTTGTGGGAGACTGCTGTGCGCAATTGGCTGCTGCATTTCGACCACAAATATACAGTCAATTCACTTTACAGTCTATTCTGTGAAGCGCTTTGAGAGTTAAGAAGACATGAAAAGCTCTATATCAAATGCAAGAATTATTATTATTATAGTCAAATAGCATTCACTGTCAAGGCCTGTATGTGGGTAATGGTCACTTGAGTCAGAAACAAGAAGTGCGACTGACACTTGTACAAACCCTCGAAGCAAAGCCAAATTCAGCGGAGAAAAATTAGTAAGGTACAAAGAATGTTTCACTGTTTTTCCTTTGATTGCAGTGATGGATGGGCAGACCGGGAAGAAGTGATTGAAGGCTACGAGCAGGAGGCAGTGGGAGGGATCACAATTAAACTGAGATCAGCCGAGGTCAAGTGGTTTGATAACTACTTCTTGAAGCTAAAACTACAAACTAACATTCGAAACCCGTGGTTCCCTGAATTCTGGCAGCACCGTTTCCAGTGCCGTGTGAAAGGTCACCCCCTGGAGAACCTGAAGTTCAAAAAAATCTGCACAGGTAAGGAAGTGTTTACATCTCAATCATACATGATATTATTTCCATTCTTGTTTCGTATCATTGAAGAAATTAACCATTAGACACCAAGATTTTTCTTTACGCAAAGGGTAATCAACCGACTGGAACAGGTTACCACAAAGAGTGGTCGAGGCCAGGACAATTTTTTAAAAATAGTTGACGCTGAGATGGGAGGACAGTAGAGATGGTTCATTGGAAGGGTGAGATCACTTTATGGAAGTGTATAAAATTTTAAATGGTATTGAAAAAGTAAACCTAGAACAATGCTTTGGCTGCACCAAAACAGGAGAACAAGAGGACATAGGTTTAGAGTTGCAAAGGGCAATTTCAGGGCAAACACCAGGAAGTTTTTCTTTACTCAGCAGGTAAGCAATGACTCGAATATGTTTGCTGGATAAGTGGACACTTATCCAGGAAACATGTTATCCAGGAAGCCAGGACACTTCATTGAAAAAAACAGTTTGAAGCTGTGATGGGTTATGGAAGGCTGGGTATTCTGGATGGATGAGCTCAGACTCGGAAGGGCCTTCTTCATCCAAATTAAATTTATGACATCTCAATTTTAACCCCTTCAAAGAGGCACAAAAAACAAAGTCTGGACTGAAATGATTTTGTTTGTTTGACTTCACAATTCATGCCTGATTTTCTGATTAGTGCGATATCACTAATTAACACAAACAGCAACAGGATTAAGATGTTTTCTCAGTGTTAGAATTGGCCAAATCTACCAGCTGCTGCCCAAGGAATGTTTAATTAATCACAACCGCAAATGGCTAGGACTCCACCAGAATTATTATTTCAAATGCTCAATGACCTTCACATTTTAAAGATTATTTTTTAACATTATTTTTTAATTCTGTATTACCGATTAGTCGATTTCCTAATTGCAGATTCATAATATGATAAGATAATGCGGAACAGTATTCAGTTCTATACGGGGACATATATATCTATATAAATATACGGGGACAAATTGGAGTATTCTGTCCTATATTGTGTTAAATATGTTTTGAGCGATATCTGAAAAAATGTTTGCGCTCAAAAGGCTTAGAAATGTCATCTTGGATTCCTGCTTATCAGAGTTACTGTATTAGAAGCAGGAAAATCTTTCCAGGTATCTCCTCAGGGATATTGATTCAGTTTAAATCAGCATTCTGCAAACGGCCGTAATCTGAGATCTAAAACTTCAACGGTGAGTTCTGCGCCAAAGGACAGCAAGAATCCAGCTGTTGCTATATTGCACTGCTCTGTGTTTTCTAGAATCAATGTGTTCTGTTTTGCTGGTGCCATATGGTGGTGTGTGTCTGTCAGTCACCAGGTTTTTTAAAGGCTCAAGAACTACTTTTGAAGAATATATATAAAAGGCTTTGCTGCATGCAGTAGCTCTCTAACTCAACTTGCCACAATTACCACAGTGTTTTGATGTGAAAACAAATTATGTAGACTACGCGTAAAGGAAGTGCTTTATAGATTTTTGGATTTAGGGCTGTGCATTGCAGAAGCGTTGGCTGCTAGCCAACAATTTGCTATCATTTGTGAGATAAGATGTCCAGCCAGCCGAATTATATACATTTTTTTAGTATTAAAATAGAGTATCACTATTAATTGTTCAGCTGCCGTGCTGAGTGAAACAATTATTCTTGGAATCTGAAGCTTAGAGGATTCTGGTATTCTGTCACATTTGTTACCAATCCCCGAAGAATCTACCCTCCGAGATTGTTCAACTGTTGACAGACATTGCTCAGAGCATCTCTCAGCCAGCAACACTACTTATTCTCCGAATGGCTATTATAAAAGCTAGGAAATATTTGTTCCTAAAATACAAATAGTAATAAAACAACTACTTGAACTTATGTAAAATAAACCTGGCATTTGCTGCAATAGAAATTTATACTTATCATAGAATCATAGGACTATGAAAGAGACCATTCGGCCCATCGTACCTGTGCCAGTTCTTTGAAAAGAGCTATCTAAATCACTCCTACTGCCCTGCTCTCTCACCATAGCCCTGCAAACTTGTCCTTCCCAAATAATTATCTTGTTCTCTCTTAAAATTTGTTATCGAATCGGCCTCCACCCCCCTTTCAGGCAATGCATTCCAGATCCGAACAACTCGCTGTGTGAAAAAGTTTCTCCTCACCTACCCTCTGTTTCTTTTAACAACTGTTTTAAATCGGTGTCCTCAGGTTACAGATCCACCCACCCGCCAGTGAAAATAGTTTTTCCTGGTTCATCCTATCGATTCCCCTCATAATTTTGAAAACTTCTATTAAGTCTCCTCTTAACCTTCTCTGCTCCAAGGAGAATAATTCGATCTTCTCTAGCCTCTCCTTATGAAGTACCTTCGTCCCAGAGTGTTTGACAATTTTGGTTGGGCAATGGAGCTGAGGGGAGAGTTGAGGAGGGGAAGATGACTTAAAGCGCAGGCAAACAAGTACATTTTGCGTCTTACCTTAAAAGAGGGGAGGGAGTCAGAGGGAGGGAAGGTGTCAGAGGGACCAGGGAATGGAGTTCCAGAGAGTGTGTGCCAAGTGTCTGAAAGTCTGCCTGCCAGGATGGAGTGCCCTCATGTAGGATAATATCCTGGAATGCTTTAAAAAGACGGGATGAAATGCCAAGTAAGAGAGAGGGGAGAGAAAATGGGGAACGAGGCCTTAAAAACCTGGTGGCTCTGGCAGATTCCAGAGACAAGATGTTGCTTGTTGTATCTGTACAAAACCTATAAAGAGTTGGAAAATGAACTTGAAAATTAGCCTGAATCCAAAACTGTTTCTAAAACTAAGACAATGAGTTTGAGCCTAAATTAATGATGCATTTTGGGACCGGTGGTCTGGGACTCCACAGGTCCAATTTTGCTCTTGAAATAAATTGTGTTTTTCATCCCTCATTATTCTGGAGCCTCCAAAGAAACAATTATAATTTGATTCATAATTTGGCTGAATTATTCTATGAGATCTCTTATCACTTTGAGGAATCTCAATGACAGGAGGAGACATTACATCAAATGCAAGGATTGTTATTATTTAAAGACTATTGAAGAATGTTTGAGAATTCTTAAATTGTAAGATACAATGCTTTTTGCAGGTTAAGGTGAGGTGGCTGTCCAGATTGCCTCTGATAACTAGAGATTGAGTTTACTGCATTATGATTATCTTTATTCAGACTATAATCAATGACTGGAACAGGTTTCCAGTAAAGGTGGTAGAGCCCAGGACACATTTAAAAAGCAGCTTGTTGCTGTGGTGGTGGTGGGTAGGGGTGGGGGTAGGTGTTCTGGAAGGTTGAGATTTGATGGTCCGAAGAGCTGTCTTCATCCAATCTGATCCTGTAATCTTGTGATTACTTACTGAATGTAATTATTTTAGGGCTGTTAGATGCTGTAATTTTTTGCGGACATCTTGGAGTGTTTGAATACTGACAAAGTTGTACCCTATCTTACTAAATTATTAACTACAGCAACTTCTTTAGAGGCTGCTTAATGGCGAGTAATGAAAAATGCAGTAGGTTTCAAGAACAATAAAATCCCACGTCTGGCACTATCTCTATGAAGTGCTCCAAGATGTTACTCTTTGTAAAGGATGCTATATAAATGTATGTTGTTCTGTGCTCTCCTGTCAGAAATTTCCAGGTTCAAAATGCTCTGTCGCAGTGGCTAAAGTTGTAATGTTCCTCTCAGCTCATGCTGAGCACTTGCTTCAATTAACAAATGCTCAGTTTTATTAGCATGGGAATAAATCTGCAAACTTGTGCACAAGTCTTCCGTATAACAAGCAACACAGGGGAAGAGGAACAAGTACTGCCAGAGGGAAAATGAATGCTCCAGATGTGGAAATGAAGCTGTATCTTTTCGGATGTGAAAATGAAGTTGCTCACAAATCCCTTGTATTTACCTACAATAAGAGAACTATGCTTGACAATAATATCTGTAAAATGCTTTGAGATGTTTCAGTATCATTGGGACTATAAAAATGTATATAAATATCTTTCTTCTCTTAGTAGAACTTTGTATGTTAATGCACAAAGTATAAGGAGTAAAATTTGTCAGCTAGAAGAACAAATTGCAATGAACAGCTATGATAGTGTTGTATTATCAGAGACCTGGCTTCATTCCGGAGAGGATTAGGGATTAAATATGACTGGGTACCACATTTTTTTGAGGATTTTGGAGAAGAAAAAAAGGGTGAGAGTGTGGCAGTACTAATATCCCATAATATCCCTGTGCAGAAATCAAGACAGCTCTACCGAAGTCACCTTGGCAAAAGCCTTGCCTTGCAAAGCTATTTTAACTGTACTTCCTGTGTCAATTCAGTTGTGCCACATAATAGTTGACTGCATTATTCCCAAGGAGACTATACACCTTGCTAGGTAATGTAGGTCATCAAACGTCAGTGTGAGCAGCCTGCTCTGATAAGGCACTGCCTCTCTGAGCTTCGCAGGAACAGTGGGAAATAAAAAGAAGGTCATTCTCAGTACATTTATTGACCTCTGTGGTGAGTGCATAATGTACAAACTGTGTCACTGGGAATATTTGCACCAATTCATAAACTGGATAATTTGCCAACAAGTGGAGAATAATTCCTAAAGTATATCATGGGGCTGATACTTCAGGTGCTGAGTTTGAGATCAGGAGACTTATTAACTCCAAGTCCTTAAAAATATCAAAACAGAAGCAATTGCTTGCTTCCTGGTCTGCAGATGAGGCAGAAGAAAACAAGAAAGAAAAAACTTGCATTTTTACAGAACCTTGCCAAAGTACTTCAAGGATCTTCTGCAAATTCTTATATAGTGCAGATGCTGTTTGTTTGTAGACAAAGATGGAAGCCCACTGCTAAAGCTCACAACAACCTTGAGGAGACTGACCCATTTATCTGGAGGACTGTTGGCCAAGTCACTGGGAAAAACTCCCGTACCTTTAGGAATAGTGTCATGATATCTTGTACATCCACCCGAGAGCAGGCATATAGGACCTCATAGGAACATAG